TTATTGAGCCTTGGATGGGAGCTTTTGCTAGCTCCAAGTGACTACCACTTATTCCGGTCTCTATAGAACTGCATGAATGGAAAAAAAATCCTAAAGGAAGAGGACGTCAAAAATAACTTGGATCAGTTTTTTAACAATAAACTCTATACATCTTATGAACATGGAATTATGTAGTTAGTGGAAAGATGGAAAAAAGTCATATTAAATAATGGTATATTGTAGATCTATTGTACTACACTATATACAGTACAATAGATCACTAGCGGATCCAGGATTTAATTTTAGAGGGGGCTTCAGGCCGAAATATATTTTTTTTTTCATAAAAATGGCGATAATTACTTTGGGAAAAAAGAAAGAAACTAACTACCTATATGAAATGGTGTTTATGTGATTCCTTAAGTCCTTTTAAATGTAATTACACGAACGATAATACTTTAAGAGATAATTTTTTAATATATTTTTCCTTAAAACATCTTTATATTTTACCATTTTGGGGTGGGGCTTTAGCCCGAAATCCCCTCCCCCTCCCCGTAGATCCACCCGTGCAATAGATATATTGTACTACAATATATTGTAGATTAAAATAAATTTTATGTCTATAGTACATTTAGTTTTATTTCACCCTGAACTAACGAAAGGACTTATTCGCCAAACCAATGTAAATATATGTATATGTACATATATGTATATGTATATATATATATATATATATATATATATATATATAGATAGATAGATAGATAGAAAAAAAACTTTATTCTGGGACTAAGTCCCTTCAGAATAACATTAATGTACAAAATAATAGAATATTACTGGCCTAAACGTTTGAAACAATAAATAAAATTGATAAAATAAAATAAAAAGTAAAGAAAACCTTAGGTGCACAAGCTATATACAATACAGATAAAACTATGTACAGAGCATTTAAAATTATGAACAAAACAATTAAAACTATGAACGAATCACTTGAACTATGAACAAAATTATATATAAGTGTTGAACAACATAAACATACACTTTGAGAAATGAAGAACGAAAAAGAGATACAGTGAGTTCATTTCATAAAATAAAATAAAAAAAACTTTACTTGAATATATATATAAAAATAAACAGTTAATTATAATTGAATAACAAAAAAAAATGTATGTATTGAAATTCCTAACTGAAAAATGTCGATAGTAGGAAATGCATGTACTATCTTTTACCAAGTATTATGATTATATGATTGGTACACAATACATATATAATATTAATAGTTAGCTAGTATCTGACTGTTTTTGGAACAGGAATTGGAATAGGAGGTTTTTGAATGTGTATAGGGAGGGGGCATGTCGAATTTTGATCGGGAGGGAATTCTAAAAGTTGACAGAGCGGGCTATAAAGGAATTTTGGAATGAGGCAGATCTATGAGAAGGAATGTATAGATCAGAGGGTCGGGATCTTGTAGTGAGGAAATGGATTAATATATATATATATATATATATATATATATATATATATATATATATATATATATTAATTTTGTACTTTTACGTTATTCTGAAGGGACTTTCCCTCTAGTCCCAAAATAAAATTATTTTATATTCTATTCTATTATGTATATATATATAAAACACGGCAGTTGTCTAGTGTTTACACTATGTTACGTTAGGGTTACGCCTATGTTGCCATCCTGACCAACAAAATCGTACACTGCCTCTCCTATAGTATACTTACATACACATACACTGAATGGTATACTGCACCTGAGAGCTACCGATCAGCGGCAACTGGTATTGTTCTGGTGATTTACTCCACAGTAAATGTCAGATGTAAATACAACCTTGGTCCGGGTTCGATTCGCGTTGGGTGGAACATTTCGCAAGAGTGGGAGCGGTGCAGGCGGTGCACTGTTATCTATCAGCGGCTGGCAGCTCGAGTGTCCTTAAGGAAATGTCACTCGAGTCCATTCATCGGCATCCTTTCAGGACCTCTGCGATATTATCCTTTTTTGTTTTAATGAAGCCTTTTCTTTTTTTAAATATTACAATCTGTCTCAAGGACATTTATAATAGTGTTCTGAGATCACATTCATACTCTACGTACAATAAATAAAATAAATTATACAGAATAATAATATATATATATATATATATATATATATATACAATAAACAAGAATAAAATTACCTATAAATTAATAAATAAAAAGAACACATACACACCTATATATAATATTTACAAATCTCGCGAGAGAACTCCAAACCAGACTTGTCCCTCCAACTGTGGAGATTGAGCAAGAATGCTTGAGCCACATACACTCATGTCTTGAGTGGAGTATCTGGCCATTGCCAGAACTCCAATATTTACAAACTATAAAAGATCGCGGGGCCACTGCCGTTTTAACCTCCTTGGAGGATATTAAGGTCATGGTGTAGGGTTTTGTTGGTTACATAGAAAGGAGCATCGACTATTGTTCGAAGAACTTTTTGATTGGAAGGATTGGATGCGTTTGATGTTCCAAAATTTTACTGTTCCGTATAGGTTTCAGTATTGTCTTGTAGATAAGTATTTTATTTTCAATAGAGAATTGAGATTTCCTATTAAAGAGTATGTATAGTTGGCCGTATCGTCGGTTAAGTTCCTGTCTTTTAAGTCTAGTATGAGGGTTCCACGTTAGTCGTCTGTCTAAGACAAAGCCAAGATACCGGACTGTGTCTTAGAAAGGAATCGAAGTGTACTGGTGGATAGGAACTGCGTCGGAGTGTGAAGGGGATGTGTTGGAAATGAAGCCTTTAATGGAATTAATTTGTTCTGACTGAAGAAAAGTATTGGTCTCGTTAACTCCAAACAAACAAAAAGTTTAAATTTTCCTGTGGATTTTTTGTTCCATCCGTTCAGCGAGTGAAAACATACAATTAACTATATATCACAACTGTTAGTGGAAAGGTCGTATGTAAAAGTTTTCATTTTTTAATCTATTTTTGACATATTGTTTTGGCGGGAATTAGCGAATAGCCTTCCGCTTTTATATCGGGGAACTAGGTTATTTACACTCGTGATTATTAAAACAAAACCCTGGCACTGGATATAAACTTTTTGAGGATGTTTAACTGTTGTTGGGAATTCGGGAATTTAATACCTAGTAGTGTCAGCCATAGTAATTGAAAATTAAGTGATGCGCTCAATAGATTTTTAAGTTTGATAATTCCAACTGCATAATGAGTACTTGTGGGTTAAGCTCTAAATACTGGTTATATTATATTATTAGTATCCTCAATATTTTATCTGATTCATTTCATGTCATGAGAAAGTTTATCATTATGAATATAAATCGCTATTATATTAAAAACTCAAATGTTGAAGATAATGAATATTTTTTTTTAAACTTATTTATTGAACAATATTACAATCTGTCTCTAGGACATTTATAATAGAGTTCACTGATCACATTCACATTCTATGTACAATAAATAAAATAAATTATACAGAAAAATAATATATATACAATAAATAAGAATAAAATAACCTAAAAATAAATAAATAAAAAGAACACATACACACCTATATACAATATTTACAATTTGGCGAGAGAACTCCAAACCGGACTTGTCCCTCCAATGTGGAGGGTAAAGTATGACTCCAGGAGTTCATTAAAATTGAAAGAATCATCTGTCCATCCTTAAAAAATGTACTTGCATATATACTTAAATACATTATCAGATTATTAGGGAAATTGATGTTTATGAAAATTTAAACATGGTGTAGTAGTGGTGTGCCATCTACTACTCATTGTATAGCTTGCAAGTGGATTTCGTACCATCCAGTCCTTGTCAACATCCCGAAGAATCTCGAGTTTAGTTCCTGGGTAGAAAGCACTCAACAGCTACAAGTTTAAATATTCTTAGACTGACGTCTACGCGGTTTCACTAAAAATTTAGTTAGTGACAGTCAGAAACAACGTATTTAAGTAAAGGCGTCTGAAAAGAAGATAGCCACGGGATCTTGTAGACATATTATTAGAGTGCTACCAGTGGGTAGTTTCTCAACAAGCGTTTTCATGTGATTATATTTCTGTATACGCATTTACTTGATGTATTTATATTAATACAGTTGTAAATATCATGAATAAAAAAAAATGAAATTGAAGAACTTCATTTTATTTTGATTTTTTTTACCTACACTACTTATGTTTCTCATACCAAGTCATCTGGTTCTTTTCTTAGCCCTGATGAAGGCCTGAACTTCAGGCCGAAACGTCGGCAAATGTCAAATAAGTATTATCATTTATTTTTGCCTTCTTATTTGACTGATCACCCCGCCTATTCTTCTCTTCATTATTCACGACAGTCAACCATTTCACCCACAATTAAAAAATGAAATTATGTTTTATTAATGATTTTTTAAGCAGCTATATGATTTTGCTTGTGTAAACTCTTAAAGTCCTTAACATTTTGATTTATCTTTTTCTCATTAAAATGAAAACTTTTTTGTACAGAGTGAATTTGACTGAGCCGTCATATCTCGGACGTGTAACGCTCGGGTAAAGTCGACTAATTGATTGTTGTTTTGTATGTGGATTAAAATATCTCAAAAATTAAAAATCGAACCTAATAATATTATTAGCGAGGGAAGTATTCTTCTTTCCATCCTCTTTGTTATGAGCTATTATTCATTAGCCATGCTAGAGAGGCGAAAAGAAAAAAATAGTGTGTAAAACCACATGATAGCGAGTTTTAGGGAAGTTATCAATTAAAATATCTCAGAAACAAAAAATCGGAACGGTTTACTGTAAGTAAGGAAAATGTTCAGCATTCCATCCTCTTTATAATTTGCTATTATTTATATTTCATATTACTAATTCCGCCTTTTTGATGTTTTCAATTCTATCTTCTGGTTTAAGCACAAATCTTAGTTTATTTATTATTATTATTTTTTTTTGTAATAAGATACTTTTAAATGAAGAAGGGTTGCAAATGCGAATGAAAGACAAGATTATTATAAATATTTATTATCTTAACCTATGTACAAAAGTTTGATGTAAAATATCACCCGTCATGTAATACGAAGTACATTCGTCCGTAGATTCTACGTAGTATTGAGGTCACTTAGTAGGCGTAATGGGCCAGTGGGCTCTCGTAGGTGAAGTGAGCTACTGCTGGGGCTGCAGAGTATGAGACTCCCAAGGGGGCGGCTACCTTAGCGATGGCTGGGCCGGCAGCGTAGGGAGCATAGGCCTTAGCCACGGGGGCGGCGTAAGCTGGGGCAGCGTAGGCGGCATGGGCGTACGCTGGAGCAGCGGCGTAGGCTGGTGCGTGGTAGGCTGGGGCGGCGTATGCTGGGCCAGCTGCGTAGGTCCTGGCGTAGCCCAAGGCGGGGGCTGCGGCGTATGCTGGTGCGGCGGCGTAAGCTGGTGCGGCGAACTTAGCGTAGGCCGGTGCGGCGTAGGTGTGGGCAGCGTAGGCGGGGCCTGCGGCGTATGTTGCGTATGCTGGTGCGTGTGAGATGGCGGGAGCGGCTGCGTAAGTGGCCACCGCGGGGGCGGCTACCTTAGCGATGGCTGGGGCGGCGGTGTACGTGGCGACTGCGGGGGCGGCGGTGGCGTAGCTGTAGCTTGGAGCCAGGCCTGCCTGGGCGCAGGCGAGGGCGGCAGCGAGGACTACGAACTGCAACAATAAACAATCAAATGAAGTATAATATTATATATAATAATTTTTACAAGAATCTTCACTAAGACATTAAAGACTTAGAGACAGATATGAGAAAAAGAAGGTTAAAATTTTACGTTTAAACGAAGAGGATAAGATAGTATAGATGGAACAAGCGGATCTTTGACGAAGTGACAAAATTTAAGAACAGCAAACAATATCCGGAGCAGAATAAAGAGAATAGGAATCGGGGAAGAAGATTACCAAGACAGAGAGAAGATCCTTGAAATAAAGTGTTTCATTGCTTTCCTTGCGTTTGAACTGCTACTTGTGGTAACTATATCATCATCAAAAGCTGTTACTGCTCTTTTTGGTACTTGGTCCCAAAAATTCTTCCGGTGTAAATGGAAAAGAGTACCGCACCTTGTAGAATAGATCGCTATAGATGTGATATAGATCGCTATAGATGTGATATAGATCGCTACAGATGTGATATAGATCGCTATAGATGTGATATAGATCCCTCGCACAAAAATTATGCAATTATTGCTTTTAACTGTTCAGGAAACCCAAGATCAATAAAAGTTGACAAAGAAGTTCATTAGAGACGGAGTCAAAAGGTTTTGAGCAGTGTTCATGTTTCTGTTGAAGTTGCCAGATACCATGTTCTGCTGCCTCACTGAGCAATGTTCTATACTAACTTTTTCCTGAAATCCAGGAAATTGAGGATTACTGAAGAGAAGATTTGTTAGGGTGTTGTAGTGTGTGTAGGGTATTGGATTGTTGGTTGGTATGAGAAGAAGAAAAGGGGAAGTAACGAAGAAGTCGGACAGAGGAGCGGAGAAAGGAGATAGGAGAAAAGATGAGGAATATGTGGGAATAAAGGAAAGCTAAGAAATGATTTATGAGTGGTTCTTAGCTGCCCTATGACGCGATAAGTGAATAAAATTTGTTTTTGTAAACATTAGTAATATGTATTGATTACCTATGACCTTATCTGATGTAGTTATCATCTATCTATATCCTAAAAAATGATATAACGGCTAAATTCGATTTTCTCAGTTAAAAGAAATTAATGCATAGTAACCAGGGCGACCCACTTTATGATTGTTAAAACAAAACAAGAAGGAAAATTCCGTTCTACTTTGAGCTCAGGAGAAAAACTGCCTTCAAGATCATCTCTTCCTCATCCTACATTAATTTAGAAAATAATTTTTATATCAAAAGCTGTAAAACAGATTATATGTTTACAGCTTCACTTTCTAGTACATCAGTTTTCCTATGAAGTAAATATAATTATGGCTAAATCTTTATTCCCTAGAAAATGCCCAAGTGTAAGGAGTAAGGTTACAAACAATCGCCGGTATGTCATTTGCAATTCGGCAATACTGTCGCAATATGAGCTTTTGCTGGATAGTTGACAGTACTTGTTACGGTAGCGACAGCTGTTTTCACGTTATAGTTAACATGTCTTGACGATTACATGTGTAACTTATTTTTGATTAAGATACGAAAATGATCTTGAAACCAGCCGCCATTTGATTATGTTTTTATTTTAGTAATATAAATCTATTAGTATTAATTTTTAATTAACAATGACGCTAACCTTGAATGGCTTTTTTGAGGTATTCGCACATATATTCCCTTTTTTACTTTCTTAGTTTCGACAGGATTATATATCTACGACAAGACACGATCCTTTGAGGACGGTAGCCTTTGAAATAGAAATCAGCGAGGATGCCTAATAAAGATCGACCTAACCTAGCCCGGGTTACGACAGAGAGCGCTTTCTCCGCTAGGCGTTGCCCGGCCCACACGTCTCTATTATTTAAGGCGGCCAGATTATGCAATGTTAGCATAATATATATCACTATATCAAGGAGCTTTTAACGATATCATCCCAAGTATAGCATCTGTTTTTAGGATTATAGGGGTATCCGAGACGAGTCTTGGTCTTGCACACTCAGTCTTGGTCTAGGTCTTGGTCTTGCGCAAGATTCTCGTAACATTCTTGCAATTGCCTATTAGCTTATTACTGGAAAGATATTACTGTATTTTTTTAGTATAAGAAACCTAAGTCTGAATAAAAAATTAGAAGAGGTGAATGCAAAAGTATATTTGTTTCACCAATTCTTTACATATAGTAACTAAATTTGTCAAGTATTAGTAACTATTTTCCCTCAATGTTTATTCCAAAAATCGACTTTTTTTTACCAGTCTTGGTCTTGGTCTTACAATAGATATCCGGTGTTGGTCTTGGTCTTGCAAAGTGCAAGATCAAGACCTATTTTGGGCAACACTAGGGGTATCTTTGAAGCTTCAATTAGGCACTTCACAAACTATGAGAAGCACAAACAACAGATTGCTGACACATTCTGTATTTGCAGAGAAACAGATATTGCGTAAGGGCGGTATCGCATTTGCTATAACGTTTTATAATTTTAAAAAGAAACCAAAGAACGAGAAAGAAAATGGAAGAAGGCATAAAATTAGTCAAAGATGATAGTGGATAAAATAAAATTATTTAAATCGCACCTGGAAGCAGTAGCGTATCCAGGATTTTTTAGACGATATTTACTTTGGAAGAAAAAGAAAAAACTAATTATCTTCTTTTTTTAGTAAGCCTACGTTTATATATTTTTTCAAAAATATAACAAAAAACAATAATAGAACAGTAAACTGTAAAACAGATACAAGACACTTGGGTTTGGACATAATATCCAATATTGAAATTCAAAAAACAACAATAAACAAAAAAAAAACACAACAAGCAGCCATAATAAGAAATAAGAGGACAAGTACAAAGTACAGAAATGAAACAGAAGATAGCCAGATGTTGGTTAGTGTAACAATGAATAAGAAAAGAATGTGTAACACCAAATAAATATATAATGAATGTGACAAATATTTAAATTTTTGACAAATGGCGCCACATCAAAAAAGCAAGGTAAATAATTGTACAATAGATGAAGTAGATTGGTACTGTAAAAATAGTTTATTTAAAATGCGCATAATTTCATAGTGAAGATGAGGATTGCTCTGATGATGGGAAAATTGTCCCGAAACGTTAGAGATAATAAATGTGATTAAAGGGGTTTGAAGGAAATTGGAAGTTTTTTGCCTTAACTATGAAAAAACTAATATATGAAATGATGTTTAAGTTATCATTGAAAAAAAAAATCACAACATTAATGGTTTTAAAGATAAAATTTGTTCTTGACACGTCATTGCATTTAGTACATTTACATTATTATATTTAGTAGATTTACAAAGTATTATAATTTATAAAGGCGATATATTATGATTTAATTATTTAGCTTAGACCATATACCTAACTAAATATAGACCAATGAAAAGAAAATATTATTTTTCCATTTTGTTGGTGGCGATCCCCCGCAGTAAATCCGTCAGTGTCAGAAATGATTAAATTGCCTTAAATTGCAGTGATAATTGAAATTGCCTTTAAAAAACCGATACTACAGGTACATAATAGAAAAAAAAAATACAAGTCTAGAGAAATAACTGATTTAGATATTTGTGTTTGATATATTTTTAAAATGTTTAAACATAACGTAAAATGCACTTGTTTTAAATAATCTCAAGTCAAAGTGAAATGGATTTGAATATCCGGACGCTATAAATTAAGTATATTATATTTTTTTGACACTAGCTTAATTTTCTTCTACATTTTCTCCATTCTAAAACATCGCTATAACATTTATAAGTATATTCTATTTTAAATAAGTATGTTTTATTTTTTGCCATCTGCCTAATTTTCTTGTGCATTTTCTCCATCCTAAAAAATCGCTATAAGATAAATAGATTGATCGAAATCTGACATTATCTTTATATAGTAATTCTCAAAGGAGTTTTTTTGTCGCAACCCCATAACTTCGTAAATTCTTAGATTGAGTCCTCATTTTAATCATTTTCATCAGATGAGAAAAATATTCACCTTCTCCCAAAATTTCAGGAAAAAAAGTAATGAAGGAAAAGAAACTTTATTTGCGAATAACTCAAACAGTATGCGTTTTTTTTTTGCGTACCGATGATTAATTGAAAGATTACTAAATTGCCTAGAAGACAAAAAAAAAAAAAGTTATAAAAATCGACAATTTTACTAAAGATGCAGTCCATTAGATTTTTTATACATAAAACTATCTTCCCCTTCGAAGATACTGCTTTTAATATTAAATTACAGTTTTTTCCTGGCTGATATATATTGCATTATTTCTTTAAGGCATTTTGTTGGTACATTTTATATTCATTTTTTTATTTTGGTAATATTTAGTGTTTAAACATAGTTTTATCACAAATTTTTGATGATGACCTCATTAACTTTATTTCATGTTTTTTTAGTAATTTTTCAAGAGATGAAAATGTAGAACACGGCAGAGAACAGAGACTGAACATTTTTTGTTAATACTTTTTGTAGAATTGTTGGTAGTTAAAGTAATGGGAATGTTAAAAATAAAGATATTCAAAATATATAATTTTTTTTAGCCATGATTATACTGAATTTTTTCAACTGATCCATATTTTAAATAATAGTTAAAAATGTTGATCTTTATTTTTACTAAATAATCTTATGACTGAATACGAGTATTTTCAACATATTTCCATTCACTAAAACATAAAAATGCAAGGACGTTCATTATTATTTTTTTCATCTAGGACATATTTGCTAAGTGTTCCCATCCATTTCGAACTGGCAGGCGCTTTAGATATACCATCCCGCATAACCAAATATCCGCCTACCAAATAATACCGAACATATTAAAATTATTTTTCTATTTGAAAACCATTATTTGTCCATATCAATTTTCATTTTAAACATTCAAAAGTTTTCTTTCTATGGTATAAAAAAATTAGGCATTTCATTGTTTAAAAATATACGTAAGTCCAGTAAATTAGTAAAGTTTCCTCCCCATTTTTATTTGATTTATGAAAAAAAAAATTGCATTTAGGCTTACTATTCATTAGAATAATGATTTTATTTCAAATTCAATAGAATAATA